AGCCTTATGGCACTCCAAATATATGGAATTCATCCGAACCAGTGAACGGCCTAATTTCGGACGAATTGCAAGTCATTTGAGAGCAAGTTTTAACTATATTTCTTGCTCTCTGGTGATATTTGGACTGGAATATACCAATACAGGATATAGAACAACCTTTAAATCGTACAGACTTATTGTGTTTCAAGAACATTTATCTGTGAGCAGGATTTTTATTGATCCTAATTAGTGATGTCCCGAACGGTTCGCTGGCGAATAGTTCCTGGCGAACATAGCGTGTTCGCGTTCGCCACCGACAGCGAACATATGCGATGTTCGGTCCGCCCCCTATTAATTTATTAATACTAAGTAAAAATTACTTAGTATTAGTAAATTGTGCCCCTACTCGCAATACCGTGAGTAGGGGCATGTCTATTAAACAGTGAGCAGTCCTCCCCCCGGCCCCCACCCCTGAGCGGTGGGTGGGGGCCCTAAAAATACCAATAAGGGGGGGACCTATTGTCCCCCCCCGGCCCCCACCCCTGAGCGGTGGGTGGGGGCCCTATAATGAAAAATAAGGGGGGGACCTATTGTCCCCCCCGCCCCCACCCCTGCGCGGCGGGTGGGGGCCATATTGATAATGGGGGGGGACCTAATGCCCCCCCCCGGCCCCCACCCCTGCGCGGCGGGTGGGGGCCATATTGATAATGAGGGGGGGACCTACTGCCCCCCCGGCCCCCACCCCTGGGCGGCGGGTGGGGGCCACAAAGATAATGAGAGGGGGGGGACGCTGTGTAAAATGACACAGAGCACTGTGATTGGATGGCTTGAAATCCATCCAATCACAGTGCTCTGTGTCATTTTACACAGCGTGGGAAAGTTCTTTGGAATTTTCCCACGCTGTGTAAAATGACACAGAACACTGTGATTGGATGGATTTCAAGCCATCTCAACGCCTATTAGTAGCCAGGAACATGTATTACCAGCGTGTACTAACTTCACGCCAGGGCTGACAGAGCACTGTGATTGATGAGTTAGCCATCTGGTTCCATTAGTGTTTGTGTTTACCAGCGTGTGTACTAACTTTCCCACGCTGTGTAAAATGACACAGAGCACTGTGATTGGATGGCTTTCAAGCCATCCAATCACAGTGCTCTGTGTCATTTTACACAGCGTGGGAATGTTCTTTTGAATTTTCCCACGCTGTGTAAAATGACAAAGAGCACTCTGATTGGCTTAAACCCACCAATCAGAGTGTTCTTAGCCTAATTGCAGGGCATGGCAAGGCTTTATAAGCCTTCCCCCGCTCTGCAGAGCTCAGTCTGCGCGGAGCCCTCCATGGGTGAAGATGGATTATTTTTTTGCGCTCTGGTTTTTTCTTTTTCGTCTGGTTTTTTTTTGCGCTCGGGATTTTTATTTTATTTTCAATTCAACGGTTATGATGGTTTTTTATTTGGCCTTTTTTGGGGCTGAAAAAAGAAGATTTGAGAAAAAAGAAGACGTCGAAAGGTAAGTTTACTTTTATTTTACAGGTTAGCTATTTTATTCCCCCCTCACTATTTTTGGTGAGGGGGGAATAAAATAGCTAGGGTAGGTAGGGACTTTTTATTTGGGGGGGGGTGACTAGGGGCTTGGGGACCCCTAGTCACCTTGTGGGGGGATTTACTTAGGGCCCCCACCCGCAGCCCAGGGGTGGGGGCCGGGGGGGGGACAGTAGGTCCCCCCCCTTATTATCTTTGTGGCCCCCACCCGCCGCCCAGGGGTGGGGGCCGGGGGGGATGACAGTAGGTCCCCCCCCATTATCTTTGTGCCCCCCACCCGCCGCCCAGGGGTGGGGGCCTGGGGCGAGGACAGTAGGTCCCCCCCACCTCATTATCAATATGGCCCCCACCTGCCATGCAGGGGTGGGGGCCGGGGGGGCAGTAGGTCCCCCCCCCTCATTATCAATATGGCCCCCACCCGCCGCGCAGGGGTGGGGGCCGGGGGGGGACAATAGGTCCCCCCCTCATTATCTTTATGGCCCCCACCCGCCGCCCAGGGGTGGGGGCTGGGGGGGGGAGGAGAGTAGGTCTCCCCCCCCCCCTTCAACCAATAAGAGTCCCTGTGGGTTTTAAAATTCGCCTGCCCATTGAAGTCTATGGCGGTTCACCGTTCGCGAACCGAAAAATTCACGTTCGCGACATCACTAATCCTAATTAAGTGAGTGCTACTCCATTTATACACATATTTATTTTGTATCTGATGCATCACACCACCATATATTATATTATTTATGTTTTATATGTTATATATGTATATGTATTCTAATCATATTTCTGCACAATTTGAGTTACTTATAGTCATATTTGTTATGTGCTAAGTTTGCACCTGCTTACCACACATCACTTTTTGTCTTTTGCAGATCTGATTGCTTTGTTTAATTTGCGGGAACACTAACAGTGTTATGTGTTGGGGTATATATCTATTAATAATTCCTCATTTATAGAGAGGGAAGTATGCTCAGTCATATTTACTCTTCACAACAATCCAAATGCAAAGGTATGAGGCAGACCAAGCAGGATCAGTGGATATACAAAAATATTACCGGCATCATGAGCAAGAAAGAGTCTCTTTCTTAGAACCCAGACCTCGTTCACAGGTGTTTATTGAACTGGATGTCTTCTTCTCTGCCCACCTATTCTTGCAGACAATACTGTTTATGTGTTATTTTACATTAAATAATTTTACACCTAGAAAATAGGTCTCAACATTGCATCATGCACAAAATGTGGGTACCTGTCAAAACAGGCTATGAACCATTTGGCAAGGTCAACATGGATTTCATAGATGGGGCTTTACAGAAACTAAAAAGGCCTTATGATTCTGATGATGTCCTATCTAAAATATGTTTACTTTCTTTATATATTCCAGGTTAAAAGTTTAATCAAGTATTGCAATTTTTTTCAAATGTCAAAAACAGAAACTATCTGTGACAGGTTCTCAAGTTCCATTAGGGGATGTAAACTTTAAGTAAACATGTGTATACCCTTGCCAATAGACACGCTGAAGCAAGCCTAAAGCTATGGGGTATGTTATGTTAGGGTGAAGTATCAGATTATTAAAGTGGGTTTTACTTCAGTTTCTTATACAGCCAGAATTGCAAACAGTTGGACTAAGTTGTGGCCTTTCCAATAGTTTAAAAAATAACTTTCTGGAAGGACAATATTCCACTGTGCAAATAAAATATTCAAGGAACCTAATCCATCTCATATGCTTCAAATTTGGATAAAGTGTGCTTTCATTGTATTAAGAACTTAATTAAATATAGCATGGGTCTGGGAGGTTACATAAACTGAGGGTCAGCTAATATCCAGAAGTAGTTTTTTTTTTCTTTAACAAAGATTAATTCTTAAATCCAGCTAAATAAGAAAAAATATAAACTATGTATAACTCTTCATGTTCTTTTTCGAATGCTGCACATTCTATAAGGTTTTCCAGCTTTACCACATTAAAGAGATGCTCCAAGCATCATAGCCATTCAATTGGTTTGAAAAAAATAAAATCAGGAGTCCCTCTGGCAGTCCACACCCTCTGACAATAACAAGACAAGGAAGTTTCCATTCTTCATTATACAGCCAAAAATACAATAGACAGGCATTGATTTCTTCCTACTCAAGGAAAATGTCAAAATTGTTTGTCAATAACCAGGAATCTCTCTTGCACTTATAGCCCACTTCCTCTGCCAATAGCAAGATAATGACATTTCAGTTCCACATTATTCAGTCAAAAACACCATAGACAGGAGTTTCAATTAAATTTGTATTCCATGCTTGAACTGTTGAGCATTGTCTTTGGAGGGCAAAATCATACACATTATATGAATACGATGGCCATTTCCCATTATGCACACTGCATTATAGAAGCCCAGAACCTAACTAAATTTAACAAGAGACCCTTATATTCTATCACTGATACCCAACATCAGTATGGAAGCCAGAAAAAGAGCCAATCACCTTCTTCTCTGATGGAAAGAATCTTATTTTACTGACAGTATAGCAGTCAGTGTTTAATTGGAAAAACAAATAATTCTGGTAGATGTTTGTGACAAAACCCAGTATTTCCATGTCCCAGCTATTTTCCCTGCATTCGGTAGATTGTTCTCCCGAACACCAACCACCCCCTGGCTCATTAAACTTCAAAGAAACACATAAGTGATCTCTCTGTGTGGCAGCCGTTCGTATTACCGAACAACACGTGTGCTGGAAAGCATCTTGTCTCCCAAAAGCAGGCAGCGGTACTTGGTTGTCTAGTGTCTGGAACTCTAAGCTGGACACTTGACCCCATGAACACCGGTAATTTTGTACCAACGCCTGCTTAATTTCACGACAAGCCAGGGGAGCGCTGTTCGGTAGGATTGTTGGCACAAACCAGGCAAAGAATCGTCTTTTTGTTCGTTTTGGAACTCCAGAAAGTGACCGACTGCTACCACTTTTTTTTTTTTATAAATTAAAACATTAAACATTGAAAATATTGTGGGTGTTTTTTACATTTTAACATGGAGGGGAAGGGGGAGAAGAGGGGATGGGGTGCCAAACACAG